TGCAGCCATTATAGCACACATGAACTCAGGAATATTGTCATGCTTTGCTCCTTTAGCAACAATACAGCACAGATTTCCTTCAGTAGCATCAGCACCTGAAACCTGAATTGTGTCTACACAACAGCTGTCAGAGCACAGTGCTGGTGTATGGCATCAGCTCTGCACATGTCAAGTGGTCACAGCCACACAACTACCCTCCAGGCTGGAGTCCAGCAGCATAGACAACACCATCTCCAAAAAAACATCCTCTTTGGACACATAAAACTGGGAGGAATTCATGTCCAAAGGGATAACTTGGGTACCTTGACTCGTGCCGTGCAGTCTGTCTGGGTTTATCTCTCCCAGGTGTCTTAGAAAGAGAAAAACTGATGAGGAACTGATCCTCTACTTTCTCTCCTTCCTCTCTTCATAGGGTCAGCAAATCCTTGAGCACATCCTTAATCTACTTTTATAAAAGGAAGCAAAACATGCTCAGGAGGACTTAAACACACACCTTGGCACCCACTGGGTCAGGGCCCCAAGGCTCTGCTCCTGCAGGATGTCGCTCCTGGGGTTTGTTTCCATGGATGTGCACACACCAAGCATTAAGAAGCCCAAATTCAGATGAAGGATTTGGATGTTATTTATTATCTGTGTTACAGTCGCAACTGGGAACATGGGGAGTGACTCGTTCCTATTTTAGCGACAACTGTATTTACGCCCCGCATGGAGACGACCGATGAGGACATTCCCAAGCCCAGGCTTTTTATAGCAAGCAGAAGCACCCACTCCACCCCCTGCACCCCCTGCAAGGCCTTTTCTAACCTCCACAGCCTGCTCACAGCCCTGTGCTCTCCAGAGTGAGCACATCTCCAAGCTGAAGGTGCCCGTCACGGTTCAGCCCTCGCCGAATCTGATGTGGAGACAGCCCCGTTTCGATTTGGCTCATCCTAGTTTGGAGTTTGGCACAATTTTACAAGACCTGTCTGTCCCTAGGATGTTCAAGGAGTTTCTCCAATGTCAATGGGAAGAGTGCTCATCCACCGAACGGGAAGTAACGTTAAAGGATGAAGATCTCTCCTCTTGGCTATCAGAGCATGAAATGACCTCCAGAAGCCCTGTGAAATTCTACAGCTGAGCCAGGAGAGTCCTTGTGGAAGCAGCAACGAGATCCTTGTGAGCTTCTCAAGGGTACAAGGTTCCCACCAGCACGTTGGCAGCAGGAGAGTTCAGGTTATGGTAGCAGTTACCGTTAACCACCAATTCCACCTTCTCCCACCCATTTCTGCCTCCTTCCCTCTCTCAGGAAGGACACAACGCAGTTGTAGGGACACAGTGCAGAGTCCAGTGCTCTTGGGTAGTTCAGCCTCAGGTCCTTGGGGTACAAAGTGCATCTTCCCCTTGGGTGCCAGCTCAGATTTTGCTGGCCCTGCAGTGGTGCTGCTGTGTTTATTCCCTCGCAGGAACGCAGCGCTGTGCGACGGCACCGAGCCACACACCAGCGACGAGTTAATACAGCAACAGTGGCATCAAACAGTTCTATTTTTTATTCTGTTACTCCTATCCCCACACGAGGCTGCTTCTCTCAACTCTGACTTCATTTATTACTGTTGGCCATGAGGGATCACTTCTAAGGGAGGCTGTGAAGGACGAGGCGGGGAAAGGCTGACGGCGATGCGCGAAACACGCCCCGAGCAAAGGCCACAGCTGTTCAACAGAAACACAAACTGGCCCACGTGTGGCAAGCCCAAGGATCCAGTCCTGGAATCTTACAAAAGCTGGCTTTGGTCAGTGGGCTGAGGGGAAAGATGGAGAGAAACCCACGCTACGTCTGCTTCCCCTTCACCGCGCGTCACATTCACCGAGGGACATGTTCAAGATGAATTCAAGTGCCTTCAAAGAAAACATTCCTGATCCAAGATGACATTTCTGCTCACCATCCATCCCTCCACGCTGCTGCCACTTTTAGCAACACTTGCTCGCACAGTTGGCCTGTGTTGATGGAGAAGATGTAACCCAGAGACAAGAAAAGGAGCGTTTGCTAAGCACAGCTACACTAGCTCCGACCACTCGTGAGAAGGTCCAGGTTTAATTTAATCCAGGTATAATATAAATCCAACAAAGCTGCTGAACTAAACTGATGCTGGAAGTCCTGAGTCAGCTCCTACAACAGCAGGACAGGAAAAACATCTGAAGAAAAAGCTTCCAGTTCTCACCCTGCCTCAGAAACAAGGCTCAAACGTCCTTTGGTTGTGAGAGTCTCTGATCTTCAAGAGGCATTTGCTGGCCTGGGATCAGACTTCTCACATCACCTACCTGCCAAATCCCAGCTGGGACGGGGGTGGACACAGCAAAAAGGTTAATAAATAAACCATACTATACAACAGAAGACACCTAGGAAGGACACAAAGACAAACTGGATGTACTCGATCATGCAGTTAAGTAACGAGTCAATTTTGGTGCAAGCAAAAGATCAACCACCAACACAGCAAGTCCCTCCATGAGGCCTCTTCCCTGCACCAAATGCTCCAGACATCAGCTTCACTGGCTCTGCTCCCAAAGCAGGAGCAAAGCCCAGTCTGAGAGACACCAACACAGTCACCAGTGCAAAACACAGAGACTTTAATTAAAACTACAACACAGGAGGAGGAGGGGAGTGCTGCTTTGGACACAGAGCAGCTCTGGGTGCTGCTGTGTGTGTGGACACACCAGGAGAGGAGCAGAGCCCCGAGAACCAGTGATGGCCATGGGTGGGAGTCAGAGGGAGGCAAGCAGCTGGCTGCCACGTGACAGGGGCACATCCCAAGCAGGCTGATAAGCCTCAAACAAGAATTAGCTGCTTGAAGTCCCAAAATCCCCAGCAGGACAGATGTGCAGACTCAGCCAAGCAAGAAACACAAAGCTCTGCATGAGCCTCCTCCCACCTCCTTGGCAGATCCCAAGTCCAGGGATCTTGTCCCCAGGGAGCAGTGGCTGCAGCTGCAGGGGAAGGAAGCACCTCTCCACCCTTTTTTGGTGCAGTATTCCACATTTCTGGTGACCCTGCTATGCATGGATGTCAACATTTCCACCCATCCTTTTGCATGGAATCCCCATTTCCAGAAGATGACCAGGAGAGATACATTCCTGACCCTAGGGCAGCTTCAGGACACCACAGGCTTCAGCTCAGCCATTGCTGGTCAGATGCTGCACAGCCACTTAGAGCATGGGGACACTTGCCAAAAGCCACACAGCAATGCATGGGGACACCAGGGGTCTCTGCTCCAAGCACCAGCTGCTCCACTGCAGATGGACTCATCAAGTCCCAGCAAGCACACAGATCTCCAGCATCGTTCCAGGTGTGGATCCATTTGGAAATCCATTAAAAAAACCCCAAATCTCATTTAGGAGTAAAACAACACTTAACTCCAGTCTTCTGTTTTCATTTAAAATACAAGTTAATAGAGTTTCAGGCAGGTCAAAAGCTCCTTGTCCCCCAACCCCTGCCCAGGGCTGAGCTGAAAGCAGGCAGGACAGTAGCAGTGCTAGAAAGCTCTGCCTCAGCTCTGTGGACATTTCACTGCCTCTTAATTGAAACTCTTTTCTTGCTCTCCTCCTGAGCACCTGCAAGAACCTTTACAAGAGAGAGTAAGTAGATCTGGTAAAACCCATGAAAAAATAAAATTAAAAAAAAAAACAAAACAAAAAAAACCACTAGCAGGCTGCTCCCCCTGCCCAGCAGTAAAGCAGTGCAGCAGCAAAAGCTGAGCAGCCTGGCTGGGGGCAGCCCTACCACCTCCTCCATGGTCTGTGGGAGTGCCAGGGGAAGGATCCCTGCTGCTCCTGATGCCCAGCAAACACCAAACCACAGCCCTGTCCTCCCCACACCCAGCCTGGGAACCCCAAGAAGAAACATCCCCTCTCCAGTTATGGACAATCTTGGTCATGACCTGTGGACACAACAGCACATCTCAAACCCAGCACCAGCTGTCTCTGCACTCCAGTGATGCTGCTGGTGTGATCCAGACCACTTCTCCCTCCATCCACCTGCCTTCAAGATGCTGCTGCTGGTGGCATTGGAAACGTGGTCCCTCTCCCTGAGGTCCAGCACGGCAACACCAGCAGGGAATGGCAAAGGCAAAGAGCTTTCTCCAGGTATAACCCACAGAGCTATTTATGCTTTTTGTTTCCAGCACGAGTAGATAAATGCACGTAAAGCTGCATGCTTGTCCCCTCATGCTGCCTGTGCTCCAGGGATGTGTCCCTCGAAGAGCTGGGGAACGTGCTGCTTCGTGGGGAAATCCCTTTGCTATGGGGCTGTCACTACAATTTATGACCAAGCAGGAGCAACCACAGTCACCTTGTGCCACTAGGGCCAGCCCAGCCCCAGGGCAGCAAAGCACAGAGGAAACAGGGAGTGCAGAGGGCAGGTTGGACCCAGCGATGGATGTGTGTGAATGTGTCAGGGTTTGTGCCCATTAAGAGAGAGCCTGAGCAGTGTCTTTGCATAGCTGTTCCCACAGAGCCAGGTCCCTCCAGGGACCTTGTCTCCAGCTCCAGAGCCAGCTCAGACCCCACAGCCCTGAAGGTTCCCAGCTTCACCCAAGAGAAGAGGCAGGAATGGGAAAAGAAGACACAGGGAACTTCGCAGAAGACATGCAAGGGAAAGGGTTTTCCTTACCCAGAGAAAGGGACAGATGAGACCCTGGGCTTCCACAACCCACAGACATTCCCTACAACTTCCTTTCCCCATTCCAGACCTCCCCGTGCAGGCAGAGGTGCCTACAGACACGCGAAGGCTCACACCTCACCCCGCGCAGTGGTTTCCCAAAGCAAACACCAACAGGAAACTCCAATGAAATTCAGAAGGGAAATTGCAGTTACCACTGCCCAACACATACACACGTGCCTTCCTCCCCTCCACACCCCTTCCTCCCGGGAAGGGAAGCAGAGAGCCTGTGCCAGGCAGCCCCTACACAAACCCATCCCCGTGCCCGGAGCCGCAGTCAGACGTGGCGGAGCGGAGAAGAACAGCCCCGGCAAGACATCCCTGTGGTGAGGATGTGCAGGAGGAGTTGCTCCCAGTCCCATCTCCCGTGCAAGGCCGGCGAGTGCTTGGGATCTGTGGTTGCTGATGAGGATGTGCAGAAATGAAGGGGCTGTGTGTAACGGGCAGGGCGATGAGGAGAGTGAGGGGAGGAGGAAGAGTGCCGCGCTGTGCCTCCGCTGCCTCCGCTCCTCCCGCCGCCTCCTTAGGATGTCACAGGTTGGATGGGGAGCAGGCTGCCAAACTTAAAGTGCTGGATCACAGGAAACTTCTCCAGGCACTGCAGGAGGGGAGACAAAGAGAGGTGAATTCAGGAGAGACAGTTCCACCTTACCCATGCAGCCAGAGCTACATCCTGCCCGCAGGGTCAGGACGCAGTGAGCTTGGGGCCACTCAGCTCAGCCACAGGCAGAGGGATCAGTCCCACCTCTTCCCCCCACATTCCTGTCAGGCTCCTCAGGCCAGTAACACTTCATAAGCCCATCCCCTTCCCTTCAGCCAGAGCCTTTTGCTTGCTGAAATTCAGGCCTGGAGCATGAGCAGAAGTGGCATGTCTATGTCAGCAGCTTTCTCTCACCACTCTCCTTGCTCAGGCTGATCTCTTTGAAGAGCTTCACCCTACAAACACTGAGAACTGCAGAAGCCCCCAGGGAAGACACTCTCTCTCCCCAGGCCACTGCCCACACTCTGGGCTTGAGGCACCATCCTGCAGCCACAAGGCACTGCCCAAACAGCATTTGAGACTCAGGTCTCTGATGGACAAGCACCAGTGATTTTGCTGCCATTGTTTAAGATATGATGCTATTCCCAACAACTCCTCACCCCTGAAATTCCCACCTCCCAACACAGAGTAATGGATCATGGATCAGTCACATATATCCACAACAAGGGAGCTTAGCTCAGAGCTGCTTCCTCCAGCTATGCCCAGACCCTGTGTGGGGTGAGTTGGGCTGGGAGAGCACAGCCCCTTCCACTCACCATCCTGCCAGCAGGAAGGTCAGGGGCTGTGGTCAATAGTCACGTCAGAGTTTGCCAGCACTTGCCTGGCAAAGCCACTCAGAGCTCTGTTTTTTGAGTCACTGCAGATTCAGACTGCCCAAACCTCTCTGAGGGCACAGAGCAGACTCACCTCCAGCCACACAGAGCTCAGCAGTGCGTGTTCACCAGCTGCATCTGCACTAACATCACCCACGTTAGCTGTGCTGAACAAGGGACACAGACCACCTGGCTGTGCTGCATGGGCACTCATTACTGGGGGGCTGGAGTCAGGGCTAGTGAGGTGTTAGCCACCTCCTAGCCGCAGGCAGAGGGGCAAGTTCTCCCCTCACTAGACAGCACAATATGAAGAGGATAAAACAAGCTCAAGTGCCCTGTGTCTTGGGAGGAGAGGCTCTCCCCAGCACCCAGCTGAGGCACAGGTCTGCTGATGAGACTCCTACTGCACAGGAGGAGATGTGAAGTACATACAACCAAAGCACAGCAGCTACCAACTAACAGGAGTCCACCTAGTCCCAGAAATTCGTTGGCACAAACAGAGCACCAGGATGGATGGGATGCAGCACCAGGCAGGTACCCAGCTCCCCCCAGCAGCAGGAGGGTGGCAAGGCCATACCAGCTCCTGCCTGCAACCACTATCCTCCTGGGTAGATCTTGGGGACAAGATGCACAACTCACTCCTTCAGGCACATCTCTGAGCACAGCTCCTTCCTACCAAAAGGAGGCAAGTGCCATGTTGTAGTTACCACACCCCTTTCCATAGGAAGGAGCCTGGTGCTCTCCACAGGGCCAAAGTGGACTCACTGCAGCAGGGCAGACCTTGGCTCTGGGGCTGGGGAGGAAGTAACATGCTGCAGACAGCTCTTCACCCCAAGGCAGGACTCGGGCAGCAGCAGGCAGCCTGCCCTTGTGCTGTCATCATGGGCAAGCAGGAAGATTTGTGCTCAAGAAGCCCAGGCCTACAGTAATCCCTTTGGAGTCAGAGGTCAGACAACTGGTTCCAAGCACAAGCATACTGGAGCCAAAGCAAGTTTGGAGGTGGTGAAAGTACAGCATGGCTGGATCCACTCCTGGGGAATAACAGCCATGCAGAAAAACACAAGTCTCCACGGCAAGGCACCAAGGAGAAATAAGTCCTGCGACCATCAGGGCACGTCACCTTCAAAGCTTCCTAATGCTCAGAGCTGCTGCCATCTCTCCACACAACCACTTAGACAAACCCTCAGAGGAAGCAGTGCTGGAAACAGTGACGTGAGAGAAGAGCAGAGAGAAATGAACACTGGAGATGTTGACAGCTAGAAATGTCAGCCCAATTAGCTCCAAGGAGTCCCATGGAAGACCAGACTGGTTTGGGCTCCAGATGAAGAACCTTTACCACCAGTGGGAAGAATGAGTATCCATTCCACTTAACACATTGCCAGCCCAAGAAGAGAGAGGCAGAGAAACTTTTCCTCCTGTATCCAAAAGGACTAGCACAAATTTACTGGATTATGAGAGGTACCAAGAGACAGGACCCTTCTTGCATCATCTGTGGGTGAAACTGATGTAGCCAACACTAGCTCAACGGAGGGGACAGGCTTATTTCTTCTTGCCACCATCCTGACTGTGCTGAAGGTCTGTTTATGACTCGGCTGGGTAGTAGATTTGTGCACCACGTTCAGCCTTTAAAGATGGAACTGGGACTAGATTAGTTGCAATGAAAAGTATTTCTCGACTGACTGCAGAGAAGGAAAGGTCAGGAGACTCAAAAGCAGACTCAGGGGAAAAACATCAAGGCTGCTGCTTTAACCACACTCTATTCTGTCAACTTCTTCACTCATCTTTGATGGAGAGAATAAGAATAGCCCTTGGACTTCCAAGCAAACACATCTTCACCCATTATATTATAAATAGACACATCTGAGATTTCATAAACACATAGAGCTGAAGACACATTGTCTTCAGCCTCCTGCCCATCCACCCTGGAGTGCCTGGATCCAGACTAGAGCTCCCAGCCACATGGACACACCTGAGCTTTCTGTTGGCTGTTTGAAGTCTTCCCATAGAGGAGACACAGAAAAGGCCTCTGGAGCACTTTCTAAATGAACTAGTTCTGGGGCTGCCCAACTCCCACCAAGTAAGAGCAGGTTGTGACTGAGCATTTAATTTCTCCTGGTCTGCTTCCAACCAGTGACTCCTTCACTCTGCTGCTGCCTCCACTCAAACCCAGTCACGACCAGCACTGCCAGCACCGAGCACTTCTCTGCCACCCCAAACACGTCACAGAGCTGGAGCCTCCATCTGAGTGTCTGATTTCACCTGATCTAATTGCAACAGGGGGTCAGAGGGGCAGGAAGAAGGGATGGGAAATTGAAAAAATCTCACTCAGCCAGTCAGAAAAAGCAACAGCACAACCCCAAACATCCCCTCTCTTTTGCCATCACACGCTCCAGGCTCTGCCACAGACACTGCCTGCCTTGAGCTGAAAAAAAGATCCATGTCAACACTTGGGGTCTGTTGGCTTCCCTTCTGCTAATGCTGGCAGTGGCTAATTGGAAAAAGACTGCACTGGTGAAGGCTACACAGCTGGGTACAGCGAGCAGAAACTTGTGCTGGGAGCCAGCAGCAGACAGGATCTCCAGCTGTGACTGTACCTGGTCTGAAACCCCCAGGATTCAGGTTGAGAAGGATGAAGGTTTGGTGACTCCTGAACATTGTGCCATTCCCAGAAAATCAATCAAAGAGATCTTCTAGTTGCAAATGTTGGTCTAAGCTGCATGGCCAGGCACACCATAACTGAAAGCTCTGCCCAGCCATGCTGCCATGTCCATATCCACACTCCTCTACTAAGCCAGGCAGGCACTGGCTGAGCCAGCCGCACGGTGGGAGACTCCCCAGAGCAGATCATATCAAAAGATAAAATACATCTGTACATAAAGAACTAGTGAGAACCACTCAAGCAGGAGTCCCCCCCCTCCTCTGCCCATCCAGGTGAACACAGGCATCATACAGTGCCAGGAGTGGACACTTCTGCACAAGGATCATGTTCTTAGGACTAGTCCTTTAAGATCTACAAATATTCTTTGAGGAAAAAACTAAATTTAAAGTGCTTTGGTTGACTCAATGTTTTTTACACCCTAGCCTAAATTTGTGTCATTACCTTTCCTAGCAGTCTTTGCATTCTCCCCTTAACACAACTACATCTCTAGGCATTTCTAAAAAACCCACCAGTACTGGATCCAGCATTTTCACACAATGCCACCTGCTATTCCAAACAGTTCAAGGCCTCCAGAAAATGTCATGTCTTGGGTGCACCTTGAAAAGCCAAAGAACCTCACAGTTTCTAGAGGAAACCTGAGCCAGCACATGGTGGCCCCAATACCTCAGTGGACATGCAGACTGCACTGAGGGGTCATCACTGCCACAGTCCTCCAGGTGGGAGCAACCACATGGCACAGAGTGGCAGGAGCACCCAAACATCCTGGGGCACATGGAATGCCAGGGGAGTACCCAAACAGTGTGTGTGGAGAAACTGGTCCAAAGGAAAAGCAGGACCACCACACGGCTGTGGAGGCAGCAGTCGACCACACTGAGGCTCTGAGTTTTAGTGCACTCATGTTTCATTTTAACAGCACTCCCAAGACTGGGGTCTTCCCTTCAGACTCCCCAGCTCTCACACCAGAGCCTCCAGCTCAGGGTTTCTCAGCAGGTAGTGCCTCCAGTCTCTGTGACAGATCTGTGAGCAGGGGCAGCCCAGGGGAGTCCCCACGAGGAGCAATCAGCCGAGGGGGTCGACCCCCAAGCCCTGCCTCTCCTCTTTGGAGGCTGGGAGGAAAGCTGAGCTGGGGGCGGAAGGAGCCAGCGGGCCTGGGAGTGACACCTCACAGATTAGAGAGGTATGTGGCCTGGAACCTAAACACAGGATGTGCAGTGCAAAGGAAGGGCTGGGGGAGGGAGAGCTCAGTTCGGCACAGTTAACCCCTTTGTGTTGGGCCTGAGCAGAGCTGCCCGGGAGCCTCAGCCATGTGCCCCTGCAACAGGAGCACAGCTGACACCAGCAGGGACTGCAGGGGATAGGATTAACTCCTTCAAGCACCACCAGTCTCCACAGGTGCACTGGGGAGCTGCACCATCCTGCTCTTCCAGTGCCTTTAGCACAGCCAGTGCGTCCTGCAGAGCCAGCACTGTCCCATCCTGCCCAGCAAGAGAGGCTGACAGGCCGTTCCCTCCGGAGGCTCAGATGTGGTGGTTCCTGTCCTGCTTCCTCAAGCTCAGAGTTAGCTTGAGCAGGAAGGAGAGATAAGGGAGAGCCAAAACTGCCCAGTTCCCCAGGTCAGGGCCAGCAGAGATGGTGGGTGGAGAGCTGCCAAACTGGGGAGGTGGCTGTGGCCTCACTGGGCCAGTGCACAGCATGGACAGGGCTCATAGTGAGGGGAGATTAGTAGCTCTGGGGCTCTTGAAACATGGGATGGTAATTTAAACTGCCTCCTCCAGCTAGTAAAATAATGGAAGACCAGAAGAACAAAAAGGTCAAGATATTGCACGCAATCTGGAGACCTTCAACTTGCACTACGGGAAGACAAGAAATGACAAAAGTCATGTCTGCAGGGAATGGTCATTTTGGGATTGGTTTTGGGGCAAACACTAGGCAGATAGGAACTTCCTTCTACACAGTAACACCTGAACTCCCAAGCCACAGTCAATACGGGGTAGCAAAGAGCTGTGACAGGGTCCCCACACCAAGTGGTGCCCCACGGTGCTGTGAAAGGAAGGAGGTGTGTGGCTGAGCAGCCTCCCCCTGCCCACAGCACTCACCTCTGCCTTGTACATGCGGATGAGGCCCTGGTTGACCTTGGACCAGGAGGGCACAGCGCTGATGTTCCAGAGCTGGTTGGAGTGCTCAGCAAAGGGGCCTGTCTTCATCTGAAAGAGACCCAAGAGCAGGGCTGAGGGAGCCAGGCCAGCCAGGAAGCTCGTGCACCAGCAGTGACTCACGCTCACACTCTCTCCAAGGAAACATTCCCACCAAGCCCTGTGACCCACGCACCAGCCACCTCACTGCCACTTCCCTCCCTCCCTCCACGCTCCCTCCCGCTGTGGCCACATCACATGAAGCCCTGGCAATCCAGCTCTCCTCCTTCCATGATAAAATTCAGCCTTTTTCCTGCCACGCTTTCCTAATCAGACCTCCCTCTGCACACCTCCCTTTTAATGACTGCATTAAAAAAGCCCCACATAAGTCCCGTTCTCCCCTCCAGTAGAGCTTGGCTCAACGCTGTTCCTATTCTACCCAGAAACCTCCCAGTGCAGCACTGCTGGGCTTTCCAAGAAAATGACTCATTCCCCATTCAGATCAACAACAAGCAGCAGCGACAACACTGCTGCCTTCCCTGAATACAGAGGGCAGTGCAGGTTGGCAGCAGCTCTGTGTCCACAGCCCATTCCACACCTGCCTCCAGCCTAGGAGGGCTCTGGGGGAGGCAGGAGCAGAGGGCACACACTCCAATTCTCCTCTCCAATCCAGCTCCAGAGCTGTGAGCTGCTGCCTTGCTGCAGATGCTTTAATTTTTTTTCCTATTTTTTTATACTCCAAGTGTTTCTCCTCCCAGGGCGAGGGGTTTGGAGGAGGGAGAGCAGGAGGGAAGCTGCAATCAGGGGCAGTTGCATGTAGATTCCCTGGGTAGTTGTCTCTCCTTCTCTTCCATGAACAAAAACAGACCCTCAGGGAGAAAAAGAAATACAACACAGCCACTCTGACTGAGCAAAGTTCCCATGACATCAGAAACCACAAGGCCGAAGCTCACGCTAAAAAGGAGCGTGGGGAGAGAGGAATCTCTTGGACTCTCGTCGTCAACTTGGGGCTTGAACAACTAACCCCTTCCCTCCATGCACGCACAGGCCTGGAAAGAGGGTGGGAAAAGAGCCTCCAAAACAACCTCCTTGGCCACTGGAAAAGCCAGCAAGGCAAATCAATCTGCTTTGAGAAACTGCTGCTGCTCTTCTGCCATGCCTGTGTGGCACCATGAAACAAGCAGAGAGGGAAAGGGTGGGAGCACCCAAAAAACCCAATGCTTGGAGGGTGATGTGTTTCAAACCCACTGACCTTGGGGCTGGAACACCAGGGGAAGTGAGTCCATAGCTCTTCCCGGTGCTGGGAGAGCACAGATTCATCTCCTTCCCCTGGGTGGTTCCCAGGGAATGATGGATGAGCCGTTCCTGCTCCCCTCGAGGGTACAGGAGGCAACGTGCAAACACACAAAGCACAGCACATACCGACAGCGCCGGGCACAGCCTGCCAGGGAGCTCAGCACCAGGCTCAAAGCATCTCCATCCCTGCATGGGAGGTTTGAGTTTGGATGCCAACCCTTCCTCTGGCATCACCACCCTTTGGGCAGGGGCACAGCTTGCATCAGCCACCACTGTGTTTGCTTCTCCCCCTTCCCAAGCTGGAGCGAGCACGCTGGAGAGAGGAGGAGGAGGGCACAGCTGGTCAGCTCCTTACTCATGCCTAGCCACCACCATGGCCCTCGTTGCCCAGTGAGGGATGGCTTGGCTATGGTTTCAAACTGGGGAGGGAAAAATAAGGGGGATGAGGGACACACACAGAGGAAAAAACCCTCTCCTTCCATCCACAAAGGACGAAGCGAGGAGCTGGGGGGAGAGCGAGCGGCAGCGAGTGCGCTGCAGTCCCGCAGTGACCCCAGGGGAACAGAGTGAGTCAGAGCAGCCATATTGAGCAGGAAATTACTCACAGACGCGGCGTTCCTGCCTCTCGGCTCCCAAGAGAATCGGCCTTTTGTAAATGGTTCCTCTGTCAGCGCAGGGGGGAGGGGGACGGCTGAGGCCGTGCTTTCCTGTCAGCTCCTTCCCTTCCAGCAGAAACCCGAGCCCTCCCTTCCCAAACCTCCCAATTTAGAAGCCAGGTTGAAGCTGAAATGCTTCCCCAGCACCTCTCTCCTGCACACACACAGGGAGCCCTGCACAGCCTCTGTGCGATGGGCACAGCGGAGATGCTCCCAAACCCTCCCCGTCCTCGCACCTGCGGGTACCACACACTGCCTGCAGCACACTTTGGCAGGCAAAGGCAGCAGCAGGGGAACAGCTCAAGTTCCAGCCAGCTCTGCAAACCTCACCCTGTTCCAGAACCACGTGCTCAGGTCCAAAACCACCCCACAGATTTCCCAACAGCAAACCAACAAGGCTCACTGCCATGCCTGAGTGCTGCTGTAAGGAGGATGCAGTGGTGTGTTCAGGCTGGACATCATCTTCCTGCTGCTTTAAGAGCTTGAGATTTAAATCTACACGTGGCAAACACCACAACGGTGTATATTCGAATCCATGAAATGTCACCCAGGGGCTGAGAACAATATCTGCTCAAGAGAATATTCTCTCAGTTGACAGAAAACAACCTGCCTCAGTTACAGCCTGCTGAAACAAAACCTGCAAGATGTACCAGGCACACTATGGGAACTGATGGGGCATTTGCTAGGTGTTTAACACCTTTAAGTAAGAGCAGTTCCCAGCTGAAAAAGCTCAGAAGAAAACACTACAGTTCGCTTATGAAAGCCTTTAATCCCTTCTACCTTCTTCCCCAGCTATTTTGTTTTGTTGTTGATTTTGGAGAAGAAGCATTTGCAGGGCACTGAGGCTGCCTCACCCCCCCTAGTGGCAGTCACAGCCTTCCCGGGCACTTGGGAGGGGAAAAAAACGAGTTTTAAAAGCAAAATCTTTATCAAAAGGAACAAGTGCCCGCATGGAAATGGACTGAATACACCATGCATTGGACAGTGCAGGTTGTACCCGCTCCTTACAGCTCACGGCAGCAGGGCCGAGACGAGGGCTCCTTGCCACCAGGTGGCACTGAGGAACTCGGCAGAAACACCGAATTCCATGATTCCCAACAAACGTGCAGAAAAGGAAGTGAAATCACTTCTTTTAAAAGCCTAATAGAGAGCTGACTTTCTGCAGGCAGCAGCAGCAGAGTGACCTGAAGCAGCAGGATGGTGCTGGGTGTTTTAAACTTCATCTGTCATCTGGGCATTGCAGAACTTTCTACACAACATGTCAAGAGATGTATGTTTTTATGTTTTTAACAGGTCAGGGCACTGTCTGGGTATTAGAGACCCGAACTAAAATAAATTTTAGACCATCTTGCCTCCTGCTTTCCTGTCCTCATCTTGATTTCCTTCTCCAGCACCTCTTTACTACCTGTGGCATGATTTATCTCAGCACTAAGGGTTAAACCCTGTGAGGTGCTGAATACCAACAAA